TCTATACTAATTCTTAACTCAAACGTTAAATTTGGAGAATTTTTATTTTGACCTACTTTTCGGATACCATATCTCAAAAGTGGGTCAAAATACTTTCTGACGGCAAAAGGCTTACACTATTAGCACACTCTTGGCTACATGTATACAAAATTTCGAAGAATATAATTAATCTGTAGTATCAGAATCGCAAAAATAAGGAAAAACTATGAATTTGACCTAGATTTTGACTTAGGCATTTTGGTGTCCAAATTTTTATGAAAAGGAGGTTTTAAGGTCCCTTTCTTTTATTGGCTTCCATTATGTTTAGCTGTGCTTAGTCTATACCTCATATTTTACACTTCAAAAAAATATTTTTTCCCGTTGAATTAACATGGGGCACCAAATTTAGCGATTTTTGAATTTTCAAAACGCCATAACTTCTGAACCGGAAGTCAGATTGAAATTTGATTTTCAGATTCAGAATCCTGAGAAAATTTCCTATAAGACTGATATCCTGGACATTGGATTCGGAGACATTTTTTTGGACCTCGTTTTTGGACACTGATATCTCGAAATCGGTTTGAGATACCAAAAAACTAAATCGAACCTAGATTTTCTACTTTTTTATAAGGAACACAATGAAAAAAAACCGGATCAAAAATATTGAAGGACAACCGAGAAAATCGAAAAAAGTGACAAAGTACTGGATTTGACCTAGTTCTTGACCTTTGACCTAGATAAAAATTTGACCCAATTTCCGAGGAACTAGATACTGAACCTTAATTGACCAAATGATTGACTTTACTGAAGACCTTATGGTTATTGAGAAAACTGGGATAGAAAAAGAATAATAAGAAGAATAAGAAAACTGACGAAAACAATAGACTCCAGATTTCATCTGGAGTCTAATAAGAATAAGAATAAAGAAGAAGAATACTGGCAAAAACAATAGACTCCAGATTGACATCTGGAGTCTAATAATAACTATAGGCGAGTAGGTATTCTCCAAAAGTCCTTGTTTTGAGGAGTTTAGGTATGAAGACATATCATATATCAAATTAAAGCTAGAGACCTCTAATTTAACTAATTTAAGGATCTGATATTAATTTATTCCAAATGTGCCTCCGTTGCTATGGAAACGGGATGCAAAGGCCACGTCTACTTTCCTATGTTTTAAGTGTATAATGCATTTTGTATTGTAATTTTCTTGTTTCCCAAGCGATCTTAACATATTTGGTATCAAACTATGCAGAATAAAGGTAAATTCTCCTGTCAGCATTCAACTCTGTCTCCCACATGCGTAATAATAGAAACGCAAATATTATTCAAAATTATGACTGGACTTACTACTTAAATTTCAGTTCAACCTGTTGTCAAAACAACGTATATAGACAGGTCCGTGCAGTATTTGTAAAGTTTCGTAGTACAGCGCACCTTTTATGCCCAAGGTCAATGATTGGGTAAGTACCAGTTTAAAAATAAAATATTTTCAGAACTATATGCGATATAAATTACAGCTTGAAGCACGAAAATAAATTCTCAAAGAATTCTAAACGAATTTTGCCACGTTCTCGCGCGGGATTTGATTCTAACCAGTCTTTGCAACAATTGCCAATCATTTAGCTAGACTAGACCATATGTGTTATGTAATCATTAATTCATTCAGTAATTTGCACCTGTTTTCGAACAGTTGATTAGCTTTGAGCAAATTAGAAATTGGATCCATGTAGCCTGGGAGACAAGATGGCACACTGCAGCAAACACTCGGAAGCCGAATAATGGAGTTGCTTCAAAGCCGATCCAGAAGCTCTGATAAAAATGGTGTATCTTTTTTAAGTAAGTAAGGGAATCACCTGAAATTTTAACACAATTTGCATCATTTATATGCCTATTCAATTGGGACCTTTCAGAATGATTGATCAACAGAAAATTCTATGTTCACAGTTGTAGTACCCCATGGTGGAGGCACTTGGTCCAGGACTTCGAGCTCATATTGGTGTCATAACTTGTATTGAAAAACTCGAAGAATATGGAGAATGTCCTAATAACTCCTGCCCTAAACCTTCATATTTACCTCGTCGCTGATAATAATGTAGACCATGCCAGATTTGTGACATTATGTGTTGTACTAGACAAACATGTTCGGTCACTTTTTACGTAATGCTATACGTGGGGAATTGAAAGCTTATATTAGTGTCCCGTGTCTTGCCTAATGTATGATGAGGCATTCATGTTTTCTGTATAACACAAGATTTACAATGATGTCACACTAATGAAAAAAGCACATACGTACATAGCAGTTATTAGAGAGATTTCGCACCTAGTGAAAGTACAACTTATAACGTATACTTATACTTATAGGTAAACGTACAAGGTGTTTCATAATGTGAGCTTTTCGTCAGGAGAGTTCTTCTCGGACTGTAATAAATACAGGTCAAAGGGATGCCATTTGTACTTTCTTGAATTGTAGCATGTTTAGTTGATCCAAATGCATGTGTTTGTCTAGAATAAAATAGGCTCATATGTAGTTCATATGTTATAGACCCATCTCTTCTCAAATTGACTTTTTGGAGATGCAGCTCGTTATGAAACACCCTGTATGTCATATGTTGCACTACTGAATGGGTCGTTTCCAGGAATTGCTAGAACCTACTGGTTTGATTGGTGTTTCAAATTGATGGTTAAAGTATTTGATTGGATACTGTTCCCACTCAGCCAATTAATTTTAAAAAATGCTTGCGGTCAATTGTTCCACACACATGTAGGCAAATCTTTATACGGCGATCCAACTGTATACGTTGTCATCTACGTAAATATACCGTTTTGTAAGTTCATTGAACTTATACTGATCATGAAAACATTGAAATAATCAACTTGTTTATGTAATGACTCACTTTAAAGAATCATGAGTCCCTTTAAAGGATCGTGTTTATAATACACTACAACTACAAGGACACGGAAGCAAGCATTTAATTATAATGTGCATAATCTACACGTGTAGATGACAGTGCACTCACAGTCTCTAGTTGATGGAGCTTTTCTATAACGCGAATAGTTATGTTCCATTAAGTACAATTTAAAATTGATTTTAGTAAATATAATAGTTCGACATGGCCCTTTAAACTATACGTATACGTATAAGTTGTACTTTCACTTATGTGCGAAATCTCTCTAATATTAAAACAGCCATTTGTAGAATTATTCGAAAGAAAACTAGCTTTAAACTTCGCAAATATTACCCTGTCCCGCTAAAGCGTTATTTAGGTCACCATAGCATCCATAACTTCGGAAATATTTGTAACCAACATCAAAATTATGAGGAAATAAATGACCCAGTTACTCTGAAAATAGTGTGCAAAATGAATGATAAACTTAGAGCATTTTATCAGGATTTCCTGATCGACCCTTGTAAATAGCTGAATGATGCATTGCCCATCGATAACAAGTTGCACTGCCTGTAACCTAATTGCACCAAGTTGCATTGTCTCTAGCCCCTATTGCACTAAGTGGCACTGTCTGTAACCCTTATAGCATCAGGTTGCACCGTCTCTAGCCCTTATTGCACCAAGTTGCACAGTCTCCAACCCTTATAGCACTAAGTTACACTGTCTCTAGCCCTTATTGCACTGTTCCTAACCCGTATAGCACCGTCTATAATAGTTCTTATTGCACCAAGTTGCTCCAAGTTGCACTGTCTGTAACTCTTATTGCTCAGGGGTAGAGTAATATAACAATATACAACCATAGAGCGAGCAATGTAGGAACCACTGGGAACGCTAAATAAGACCTATACAAAACCAATTCTAGGATGGAGGGTCTAATGTTGTGCTATGGTCATTGTTTCCTATAGGTGGTGTTACTCAGAGGAAGAATTCATTGTTTGTCATCAGAAGGTCAATACGTATCCTAGAGGTCAAAGTGACTCGGGTTGGCTCATCTATCAGTTGGGTCAAATATAAATTTTGAATTAAGTCAGTTAAAATAGTTCCTTCTTGCTTTATTTGATAATGTTTCCACCATTTATCACTTCGAGTGTTAAAGTCTCCGTAAAGTGAGAAACATTACAATGATATGATCAATTAAATTGTCATTTCGAGCTGCGGGAAATACTCGAGGAAAGGCAAAAACATGAATTCATTTCAATATAATGCAATATTTGGATACCATTTCGACAGGTTTACAGTTTCAGGGGATGATATTTATATGGCTTGTCAAACAAAACTTTATTTTCCTGGCTGATTTAGACAACCTGTATCATGTACCATGGGATCGTTAATTTGTTCCTTTATAATATTGGTGATGTAAACGCATGGTATCTATGAATACAAACTGTGAATACGGCATTCAGCTGTTTTAAAAAAACCCACCAAGATTGGATATGTCTTTCATAGATTATTTGATATGCTCTCTGAATATATAAACGTTCCAATACTCGATAACATTCAAATAGAGATACATTTTACCTATTTGACATTGTTTTATGATTATGTCTTGGGTCTTATTAAATGTGTAAAAAATTCGAATGAAAATGAATGTTTTGACCCCATGTGATGAGACACATATTTTTCAGCAAATGGTATCTTAAAAAATCAAGACATACGCACCTCCTTGAATAATAGTTCAAATGTTTCTGCGCTATAGTGTGCTACGGATTCTTCAAATTCTGGAGACATACGATGGACTACGTCACTGTTCAATAAATGTTCTGTATAAGATATTTTGGATCAAATACATTCACTAAATATCCATATCGAATATTTTAACTTATATATATATAATTAATACATTGAATCAAATACATTTGGTTATTTAGAATAATGCATGTTATAACTACATGGACACAGCAACAATTGTTACCACTCGTTCAAGGCCTTCCTTACGTGCATGTCTAAGTCGCGACGTAGATTTGATAATTTGCGTTGATTTACGATAGCACCTTAGCATTTCCTTAATTAATCTTATTGGCCTGTGATGTCAACGTTGCATACATATTTCCTGATTCACGTGGATGCGCTTTTAATAATGGATCTTACCATTTAGGGGGATTTCATTTGTAAGTTAGACGAGCGGATTAATTTGAAACTTGAACGAACTTGTATGTTCTCGAAAGCCCATTGTCTCCTACACTTATTACGGAGGGATTAACGGGGGAAATATAAAATATAAAACCAGAATTTATTTGATCTTCTGAACAGACAAAGGACCTCAAGCGTGAGTTGACAACGGGGCTGGCAAGAAAAGTAGAAGGTTAGTAATCAATTGTTCCTAGAGTTTTACAGAAACAGTAGAGATTGTTAGGAATCAATTGGTTCGTTTTCTGCTATCAAAGTAGATGTACATTTCCGTGTATGAACATTTTTACTTTTAACAATAGTAATATTGAGAGAATTTATCTTAATTAATTCATCGATATGCTTCTGAAAATTTTAAAATCTAAGAAAATTGATACTAAGCAATAATGTAAAATGTAAATATTCCTGAATTCAATATTTCTGAATATTTAAATACGGAGATTATATCATCTAAACAATTGAAAAGTTTATCCTTAGACTTCATCTGTTTTTTACCTGATATATTGCTGTAATATATATAAAAAAATTGTTTTAAGATTCGACATAGCAGAGATGACTTCAATGTCATTAAAACAGAAAGTTGATAACGATTTTGTAACTTACATTTTATAAATATTAAAAATGAATTTTAATGTACTAAATTTTATAGTCTCTCCTAAGCCGGCAGCGGCTTGATGTCCAGGAGACATGTGAGACTTAAATAAACAAATATACATACATACATACATTTATATATATACTCGTATTGGATTATTTTATTATTTTGGATGTAAGAGTTCAACTGAATTATTTGATTCAGATACACACTTGATTCTGATCTTTGGCAAGGCAAATAAAATAAAATGACACACGTTTATTTGGGATATATGAATTTTCACACGTTCTGGTTTTTAGACAATATGATGATTCGTCAGTTGTTATGACAAAAATATTGGATAATATTTTGTTCAAAGCGATATGATGAAAATGTGCAAAATAAGTGTTTAAGTACTAGGTACGTTCAGGTGCCTAGTTGATGAAGTATGATTGATACAATGAGGAACTGAGACACGCATGTTTTATTAATTGACGTATTTGATATTTTTTCCAGTGATCTAAGAATGAAGATAAATTTCCAATGGATTCTTGTTTTCATGACAATAGCTCTACATCAGTCACAGTCCAGTGCCGTAAATACTAAACACAGGTAAACGTAATTTCTACCTTTGCATCTTTAAGACTTGTTTGTTCCAATCTAAATGAACCAATCTTGTCAAGTCACGCACTTGGAGAGTAAGTTACTATTGACCCCAATACGACATCATGGTCTTTAACCATGATGTTTAAATGGAATCGCTTGTCTATTTTCTCTCTTATATTTGGTACCATTAGCATCAATTGTTTAAGTTGATGTCCTAATATGCATAAAAGTGCCATTCTGAAGAATTCTCGAGATCTATCTGTATTATAAAAGTCTTTTAGAAGAATTAACTCGATTCCTTTGATTGCACTTACACAATTAATCCCTGTATAGAATTTTTTATGGTTACGACTGGCTCTTGGGCCTCATTCTTTTGAAAAGACACTGCATTTTCAGATCAATTGAATCGTTTTAAAAGTTATTTGACTTCTTCATTCTGATCAGGCAAATGATATCGAATTCGAAACTCTAACACTCTAACTATCTTTTTATTCATGACCAATTGTACACATATTTATGTAATCAAGAACAATGTCTCAATGTCCTTTCAAAAGCTGTGGATGTGTTATTTTTATAAAAAGTGAGTTTGCTAAGTTATTGAACGATTTGAAGTGCAATACAGGGTATATTTTTCTCGGGAAATTTTGTATTGGTACGAGAGAAAGTCGAAAATATCGAAATATCAAGAGCACAATATATCCTGTATATATAACATGATTTTATGAGTACTGATGCCCGTTTAGGGCCAAACGTACATCCACTATACAATTTTCAGTAAAAATAGCAATAAAGTACAGAAAATAGGGTTACATTCTTCAAATGACATATAAATTGTTACTTTGATATAAGATTAACCCTGTCTCTACCAATCATTAGATAGTTTGTCATGTCAGCAGATTCTTTAAATATGTTCCCCTCAATCGTCGTTTCTGAAAGAAAGTGTTCAAATCCAAAGTGCGTTTTTAGTTGTTTAAATAATCTAAGTTTCCCCACATTCCCACATATTCTTCCAATATACATGATATCTCTCTATTAATTTCTTTTTGACTTTAATAACAAGCTTATTTGTACCCTTCTCTATGTTTACCAAGTACCTTTAGGATTTAATGAATTTATAAATTTGAAGGTTGCACTTCAAATCATTCTATAACGTTTTTATCGTGTGATCCTAAGCCAATTAGGGGATAATCCCTAGGAAGTCCACTGACCTGCTGACTTGCATTGAGATTGTACCAATATTTTTGTATTGCTACGGGAATGATCGATCCTTTACCAATACAAGGTGAGGGGACAATCTCAGTAGCAATACAGATTGGACTAATACCGACCAATCAGAGGACTTCATTTTAGAGATCATACGATAAAAACTGGATATTAATTCACTTTTTACAATTTTCATTGTTTCATTCTAATATTCCAAATAAAATTAAATAGTGAATATAATGATGATATTTGAACCGCCTTTCCATGCAGACAGGTCGCCTAAAATTACATTCGTATGGTGCATGGGGTGTTAATGCCAAGTCTGTATATTATCATTGTGTTCCATTCATTATTTCATTCTTTTTCAACATTGGTTTCTGATAAAGATCTGTTTACCAAGGTCAGGAAATCTCCTATGCCACAAATAAGAGAAACAATTCCTTCGATAAAGAGTCGAATCGTAAACTAACTTTATTAGTTAAGCTGTCGTTGGATATATGGCGTTCATTAAAATACGGAAAGGCAGCTTAAGTCATTGACAATTTGTACTTTCTCCAATTAATGTTACCGTGTAATTAACGACATTGTTAACAAAATGTATTTTATTTAATGATTTCTTCATTTAAATGTGCAAGTGCAATGACATTCCTTTATTGTAGTTTAAATAGCAATGTCATTCTTTTATTGTAGTGGCAAAGCTGCAAATAGCAAGTTCATTCTTTTATTGTAGTGGTAAATAGCAAGGCCATTCTTTTATTGTAATGTTATTTTATTGTAATGGTAAATGGCAAGGCCATTCTTTTATTGTAGTAGTAAATAGCAATGCCATTATTTTATTGTCGTGGCAAATATTAAGTCCATTTTTTTATTGAAGTGACAAATAGCAAGTCCATTTTTATTGTAGTGGTAAATTGTAAGGTCATTCTTTTACTGTAGTGATAAATAGTAAGTTCATTCTTTTATTGTAGTGGTAAATGGCAAGGCCATTCTTTAATTGTAGTAGTAAATAGCAATGCCATTATTTTATTGTCGTGGCAAATAGCAAGTCCATTTTTTTATTGTAGTGAAAAAATGGCAAGGCCATTTTTATTGTAGTGGTAAATAGTAAGGTCATTCTTTTACTGTAGCGATAAATAGTAAGTTCACTCTTTTATTGTCGTGGCAAATAGTAAGTTCACTCTTTTATTGTTGTGGCAAATAGCAAGGCCATTCTTTAATTGTAGTGGTAAATAGTAAGGCTTTATCTATACGATCAGATTTGACTAACAAATAAAATAGATTTATAGATGATTAAAAAATGCAGTTGCCGTTGGACAGCAGGCGATGGGAATGCCATAGTAACAGTCTTTGTTTCTTGTGCGCCTAATTACCCGCTGATTTCTAAAGACATCATACAAATCGTTTTAAAGAAAACATACCTCAGGATCTTGTTGTTTTATCACTCATAAAACTCTTTTAATGACAAAACGTGATGATAGGCCTATGTTTTACTTCATATCTTTATATTTATATTAACTATGATACTAAGCACCGCACATCAATTCCTAATTTTATTTGCGCTATTTGCCAAAGCGCTCCTATCTTTTTGTCATTTCCATCTAACATTTATTACATTTCGATAAAATCACCACGTTCTTCTTTCATGAGACAAGGTATCCATTGTCGGCTAAGTTAACAATTATTTCAAAATTCCTTTTAGGACTAATTTGAATGATCTTATAAATTGATTATTCGTTTTTCATCAGCTAGATATTTGGAAATAGGTCCCTCAAGGAAGTATACGCTATCCTTTGGAATAAAATTATCTCAAGAGATGCAAATGTCATTTGGAATAATTTAGTAAATTGTTATTCATATATGCTGAGGGCATTTGTTAATACACACAGCCAAACTATTGGCTACGGTTCTGTACGGTACTGTAAAATATGGTACCGTACATTACCGTCAACACTGTAGGCATCACACTCTAACGGTACCGCATGGTTCCATTCTCTTAATGTACTGCTCGGTATCATGATTTAAGAATGCGGATTTGAGGTGCACACTTCCTTTAATAAATGTGTATAAGCTGATATATCCGCATATATTTAAATGTTTATCTGCAGTTGAAGTAGAAACTGTTTTAAAGATTCCGATAAATCGAGCTACGTATACCGCCGTATTTACATAAGGGGATTAGAAGGGTTTATTTTTTATTTAGGTATGCAAGCTATATAAAATTAGGCCTTCTAGCATGCATGTACTCGTGTGTACAATCAGCATGCCCTTCAATATAATATAAACACGGTGTTACTATACCAGGCTATTCAATATGTACTGCATAATGTACACTATTTATGTGTGGGAATACGATTCCCGGGGAAACAAAGACAAATACTTTTTATATGTCCAAAATGAGCCATTTGATTGATACATACACTAAATAGCTTCATAAATAACATCTACAAAGTACATCTAATAGTAATTTTCAATTTCAAAGGTGAAACTTCCCTGGTTACGATTATACGGTATATCATCACGAGACGAAGATTGATCGCCTTCCTTGCTTACCTCTGAATCGTGTACCCGGTGATCTCTTTATATAGTTTAGCGAGAACGTTGCGCCTGCGCAGTATTAAACTTTGGCGCACACTTTAAAGTTAAAATGTTTAATTGAACAAAATGAATACCTTTATTTCTCTATTTAAATTGTTCATTAACGTTATCTGTTAAACTATAGATATTGGGGAGGTTAAACTACAGTCATGTTCTTAAGAGAACTTATTCGTGATTATGTAATATCATGACCCATAAAGCTTGTCCCAGAGATAACTGTCCCTCTCATAATTGTTTTTAGGTACTTTACTTTTTTCTTATACCTAGTACCTCTACACCAAGGCTGTATTTTTGTATGCCCGTGGTACTAGCTATGCTTAATATTTTTATGAGCGTTCTCCCCAGGTATCACTAAAAGGACAACAAAATAGCTTACCCAAGCACACCTACACTCACAAAATTCTTTTGAAATATAACACGGTTTATTGCAATGGAACTCATGCGGTTCACTATCAACGAGCAGACGCGTTTGACACACAGGAGCGGCCCACAAGATTGCCACAGCGTAATCAGCGGTTTAAGTGCGCGTGAGCATGTAATTTGCAACGCATGGGTTTATTGTTCTTTTCCATGATACCTAGGGGGAATACTTATTAATAAATATTATGCAATGCACTAGCCCGCGGGTAGTTCAAAAACGCATCCCAAATACTACAAAAGGGGTTAGGAACTACTAGGCCATCAGCTTCACCCCAAAATTTAGGTTATCGGTACCAAGTTTGGGGAATAAGCCTCATTGTGATTTTTGGCAAGGTAAATACCTCTAGAGTAAGAAATTATATGATAGCATTGCAGGAGTGGCAGCTAAATGGGTGTTATCACCCATTTTTCAAAATGGCCGCCGGTGCACTTACTACCAAATAAAACAAGTTATATCTAAGCATACTGAGAGACAAAAACAATGATTTTGAGGTCTATTTCGGGGTTTTAGGGGTCAAGTCAAAATCTAAGTCATCAAAGAATTGGAAATCCAAGATGGCCGCCAAAATGGATGTCAAAACAAATATGTCACTATTAATATAAGTTCAAAAAGCTCAAAGAATCGTTAAAAAGTGACTTTGGAGACCATGAAAAGGTTTTAGAGGCTGGGGATTTTATTTGTCTCTAAATCTAAGTAATCAAAGAACTACTTTACATAGAAATCCAAAATGGCCACCAAAATGGATGTCAAAATGAATACGTAAGTATTCATGTAAACTCAAAAAACGGTTGCTTTTGCGGACCATGGTAAGGTTTTAGAGGTTAAGGATCCAATTCATGTGTAAAAGAATACCTTTATATAGAAATCTAAAATGGCTGCCAAAATGGCTGCAAAAAATGAATTTATAAGCACATAGAAAAATTAGAACAGTTATTTTATATAGATATCTGAGACTGGGTTTCAGGAGAAAATGGTTTCAATTTACTAGCCTTTACTTAAATTATCTTAACCTTTCCTCATATTAAAATCCAAAATGGTCACCAAACTGGCTTCCAAAATAAATTACCACATTGACATGGAGCATAACTCAACCATCTAACCTATTTCCTTTATTGCCATCTTGAAGTTCACAGGCTGCAGACCTAGTTCTCTCAACATGATGTTCCGAGAAGAACATTGGAAGCCTCTAAAGCCTACATGCACTGGAAAGTGTCTCACTTTCCACCCTTTACATCTTACTTTGTCAATGAGGTCTTCATACTCGGCACTCTTCAGTCCATCCGAGATATTATCTTCTCTGAAATTGTAGACTTGGATTGAGTTTTTCCTTTCTTTACAGACCTACAGCCCTCGGGAAGATATATTATATTGGCCTAGGGATAATCCCAATATCCTGAACCTCATATAGGACAATACCATGTACCAACTCCCTACATTGCTAAGGTCAATAGCTTTAATCCACTTTTCTAGATCTAACAGATGCTGTTGTTGGGACCCATCGAAATATTTTGTCAAAATATATTCAATTCTCTCATCATGGATAGTATGAAAAATTGCAAATTAGCTTCATTTGTTACCCTGCTCACAGAGTCTAGTTACACTAGAGATGAAGCTCTCTTTTCAGAAGCGAAGTCAAATGAATGCAAAGGATATTCCTTTGTATAGCACTCAGATCCCTGGGGTTGCACTACATACATCTCATCTTCTCAAAGAAGCTTAAAATCTGTTATGCTCCGGGAAATGACTAGGTCATAACATTAATGATGTTCATAGAGGCTCAGCAAGAAGGATGTCTTGTATCATCATTCCCTTTAAGACCTCTATAATAGGACTCTTCTGCTTTCATAAACCAGTTCATTGTTTTGATGAAGAGAGTACAATTGAGATGGTATATCACATCAGGGCCATTTTTGATATCCAAATGAATATATTTCGAAATTAATTATTCATTTTGGCAGCCATTTTGGTTGCCATCCTGAATATCCAAATATAAAAGAATTATTTGATGACTTAAAGTTCTCAACCATTGAAACCTAGCCATTGACTTAAATTTCTCGACCATTTAAACCTAGACATGGTCTCCAAAATCACTTTGTAATTGTTCATTGAGCTTATATTAATGGTAACTTATTCATTTTGGCAGCCATCTTGGATTTCCACTACAAAACTACATTTTAGCTATTCCTACATTAATAGTTACATGTTCGTTTCGGCACCCATATTGGCGGCCATTTTGGTTTTCTATGAAAAGTAATTATTTGATTACTTAGACTAAAATGAAGCATAAGTGAAATCATTAACCTCTAAACCCTTTCATGATCTATAAAATTGCTTTTTATCTGTTCTTTGAGCATGTATCAATAAATGTAGTTACATATTCCTTTTGGCACCTATTTTGGCGGCCATCTTGGATTTACATATAAAGTAATCCTTAGATGACATAGATTTACACATGAATAAAATCCTTAGACTTGAAAACCTCTTCTAAAACTCTTCAAAATCATTTTGAAACGTTTTAGCTTGTATCATTAGTTACATATTTGTTTTTGAACCAAAATTGGTGGCCATCTTGGATTTTCATATGAATCTATGTTTTGATGACTTGGATTTAGGCATAAATCGAATCAGTGACCCTTAAAACCCAGAGTTAGACCCTAAAATTACTGATTTTGCCTCTCAGTATGCTTAGATATAACTTCTTTTGTTTGGAAGCAAGCGCACCGGCGGCCATTTTGAAAAATGGGTGATAACACCCATTTAGCTGCCACTTCTGCAATGCTATCACATATTTTCTTACTCCAGGGGTGTACAACTTCCCAAAAATCACCATGGCCATTATTCCCCTAATTTGGTACCGACCAACCCCCCAGGCTGATCGCCTATACGTACAAGTTCTCTTAAAAACGTGTTATTTTAACTTCCTATTCACAGCGGATAATTGTATTATTTCAGAAGTAGAAGGTCCATAGCAAGCCCCGCACTAGCAATAGCAGTTTTAGAAGACCTGACCAAGAACCTTAGAGAAATGCAAAGCTATTACAACGAAGCAAAGTAAGGATGGTAAAACACTCAAAATGTTGTTAAAAAATATACGCCTTAAGTCTGCAATCAAATGACCATATTGAAACAGTATAGCCTAAAATACTCAGTAGAATTTTGAATCAGACTTTAGTAGTTATAACGGGTTTTTAAGTACTGGGAAAATTAAAAAAGTGAACCATACATTTCCAATGTACATCTATAACTCTTCGAAATAAGAAGGTAGGCTCAATAATCGACAACATCCATCAAAATGTAATTAAAATCTGCATGATTTAATATATCCCTAATGAGAGGACGCAAGGGGACATAAATGCTTATTATGGTACATGGTATTTGAAGGGACATGAATGCTTATATGGTACATGGTATTTGAAGGGACATGAATGCTTATTATGGTACATGGTATTTGAAGGGACATGAATGCTTAGTATGGTACATGGTACTTGAAGGGACATGAATGCTTATTATGGTACATGGTATCTGAAGAGACATGAATGCTTATTATGGTACATGGTATTTGAAGGGACATGATTGCTTATTATGGTACATGGTATTTGAAGGGACATGAATGCTTATTATGGTACATGGTATTTGAAGGGACATGAATGCTTATTATGGTACATGGTATTTGAAGGGACATGGATGCGTATTATGGTACATGGTATTTGAAAGAACATGAATGCTTATTATGGTACATGGTATTTGAAGGGACATGAATGCTTATTATGGTACATAGTATTTAAAGGGATAGAATGCTTATTATGGTACATGGTATTTGAAGGGACATGAATGCTTATTATGGTACATGGTATTTGCGCTGTCCATTTTAGACACAAGCGACAGCTTGATGCTGGCTATAATAATAGATTCGGCGCTGCATCTGGTGCGGGGGCCGCACTGATAGGTGAGACATTTTATACTTTATTATCTACTTTAAATCCTCGTAAAGTTATTTTTATGACATCTAAAATATCAGGATCGGTTATAGCAAAAACGCTTTTTGTGCTTTGCTTTGATTATAAAAAGATGTCTCTGCTGTACGATTGTGCTTTACTCTGTTCTTATCCGTTGATGAGTTTAACGTAACAACCGCATTGATATTAATAATACACAATGATACATTTCTATGATATGGATTGTTCAAAATATTACTACTTCATATCAAAATATTATATCCATATGCGTGGTTTGTAACTATATTGTGTTGTAAATTACTCTAACAATCATTTGAAAATTCGAAAAGTCATGGAATAAAGCTAATATCATTTGTTGCAAAGTGTAACAAATATCTATGATACGAATAATACCATCTAAAAGTGTATAATATCACGCGCATGTTTGACATTTTGCAGGTCTCAAGCATGCGAGCAACTGGAAAAATCCCGGCAGGAAAAGGCGCTAGATAAGAAAGCGTAGTGCCACCATCTATACAAAAAGAGAAAGTTGATCTCAACTTTCTAAACCTCAATTCACCTCAGATTATTTTGTGTCGAAACCATTATTTTGTTGAACTGAAATACTTATCCCGGGCCTTTATGAACAAGGATCTTTAGACAGGACCGATATGAGATAGAAACGGAGACCCTGGAATTCAGTAATAAAATATTTTAAAAATTACTTCTTTGTGTCAAATCTATTATTTTTATGTCTTATCCCTAATGTCTGCAGGGGGATTTTTCGATAGTACATTTTGTAAAGTTTTTTGTGCCTCCGTAATTTTTCTATCTTTAACCACAGGTAAATGGCTATGCCACTCTTTTCATATTGATTGGCAAAGTTATGATAGTTGGAATTGAAGTTGGTGCTGATGAAAATGATATTCCTAAAATATTGAAAGATACCGTGTTTTTAATCCTGTCAAATGTGTAAATGATCATTATTACGAATATACGAACATACTTCATACATGCAGACATATTTCGAACATACTTTATTTCATAAAAATCGAGCGATTATTAACTATCGTACAAGTTTTAAAAGGAAAAATACGAATTTGAGAGAAAAACTGTTTTATTAAGAACATATTGTTGAATACCTTTGGATTCTTTTTGCATATTCCTGAATGTTAATGAAAAATATGGCATCGGAGTTAAAATGATAACCAAATTTTAGATATATAGAGATTATCCTATATGAGGTTCAGGATATTGGGATTATCCCGAGGCCAATATAATATATCTGCCCGAGGGCCGTAGGTCCCGAGGGTAGATATATTATATTGGCCAAGGGATAATCCCAATATCCTGAACCGACTATAGGATGATCTGTTTATCCCATACCAATCACGGCATTGTTCAATTTGCCAAAGTTCAGAAACTTTGCAACCAACCGTGGAATATTCTTAAAATATTCATGTCCAGTTTTGTATTCCTGTTTCTTTCCTATTCAAATCTTTGATTATCAACGCCGGTACACTGCTCCTTCCCTTCTTTAAAGCATCACACAGGTCGAGATTGTCTGCGTTTTTCTCCATTGTCGTTTACAGTATGCGAACGTTACAAAAAAGAACCAATACGGGAACAGCGATTATGACGTAGCGGGCAGATATAGTATATCTGCCCGCTCGGAGCGGGACGTAAAGCTATATCTGCCCGCTGATGAAAATATAAGTTTTTACAAACCGGCTTTATGTACCCGTAACACGTCCAAGTATGGGATAAAATTGTTTATTCTCCCCTACCCCCATTTTTCATTTTCACTAATTCTATTTGTATCCCGTTGCTATGTGGTTGCTATGGAAAAAATATGAACAAAAATTATGTTGGAATATTACAAAGTCAAGCGATTATGTATTTCCTAACCAAATCACTGATTATCTTTTGTAATACAACTTGAAGACAAAACATATTGTTTATTAGACTCCAGATGTAAATCTGGAGTCTATTGTTTTCGTCAGTATTCTTTATTATTCTTTATTATTCTTTATTATTCTTTCCCAGTTTCCTCGATAACCATAAGGTTTCCAATAAAGATCATTATTCAGTCAATTTATGTCCAATATCTAGTTCCTCGGAAATTGGGTCAAATTTTTATCTAGGTCAAAGGTCAAGAACTAGGTCAAATCTTACATTTTCAACATTCTGTCATTTATCTTCGTCGTTGTTTATCGTAATTCCTAAATCTTTTTTTCATCGTGTAGCTTAGAAAAAGCCAAAGTAAAGATATGACATTAGATTTTTGATTACGCTTACTGATTTTGAGATATGGCGTCCAGAAAGTAGGTCAAAATGTAAAGTTCTCCAAATTTACTATATGAGTTATGAATTAAGGGTAGAATTTACTCAGGAATCTGAATCTGCAAACCAAATTTCGATCCGATTTCCGGTTCGAAAGTTATGGCGTTTTGAAATTTCGAGAAAAATCGATCTGATGATATCCTTATAGAAAGTCAAGAGTAGCGAAGAAAATATAGAAAAAATCATCCATCCTTCCTTCCTATCCTGTCTGATCATATCCTTCCTATCTATCATTCCTTCCTATCCTATCCTTCCTTCCTATTCTATATCCTATCCTATATCCTATCCTATATCTATCCTATATCCTATCCTATATCCTATCGTATATCCTATCCAATCCTATCCTTCTTTCCTATCCTTCCTTCCTATCCTATACTATCCTATCGTTTCTTCCTATTCTATCATATCCTTCCTTCCTATTCTGGAAGGAAGGATAGGATAGGATAGGAAGGAAGGATAGGATATTAAGAAGGATAGGAAAGAGGGATAGGACTGGACGACTTGGCTTATTCTGGACGACTCAGCTATATCCATCCCACCTATCCTATTCAATCCTATCCTTCTTTCCTATCCTTCCTTCCTTCCTATCCCATCCTTCCTATTCTGTCCTATCTTATTCTTTCTTCGGATTCTATCATATCCTATTCTATCCTTCCTATCCTATCCTATCCTATCCTATCCTATCCTTTCTTCCTATTCTGTCCTATCCTATGAATTCATCCATTCATCCATCAATCCATCCATCCATCGGCTTATTCTGGATGACTCGGCTTATTCTGGATGACCCAGCCTATTCTGGATGACTTGGCTATTTTGGATGACTCGACTATAATATCCATCCCACCTATCCTATCCAATCCTATCCTTCTTTCCTATCCTTCCTATCCTATCCTTCCTTCATATCCTATCCCATCCTTCCTATTCTGTCCTATTTTATTCTTTCTTCGGATTCTATCGTATACTATTCTATCCTTCCTATCCTATACTATCCTATCCTTCCTATTCTATCCTATCCTTCCTCCCTATTCTGTCCTATCCTTCCTCCCTATTCTGTCCTATCCTTCCTATCCTATCAATCCATCCATTCATCCATCCATCCATCGGCTTATTATGGATGACTCGGCTTATTCTGGATGACTCAGCTTATTCTGGATGACTTGGCTTATTCTGGAATACTCGGCTATATCCATCCCACCTATCCTATCCAATCCTATCCTTCTTTCCTATCCTTCCTATCCTATCCTATCCTATCCTTCCTATTCTGTACTATCTTATTCTTTCTTCGGATTCTATCGTATCCTATTCTATCCTTCATACCCTATACTATCCTATCCTTTCTTCCTATTCTATCCTATCCTTCCTTCCTATTCTGTCCTATCCTTCCTCCTATCAATCCATCCATTCATCCATCAGTCCAGCCATCCACCTGCTTATTCTGGATGACTCGGCTTATGCTGGATGACTCAGCTTATTCTGGATGACTTGGCTTATTCTGGATGACTCGGCTTATTGTGGATGACTCAGCTTATAAAGTCTAAATCTGGAGTCTGAAATTGAACTTGTTCAATTTCCAAAGTCTAGTTATTTGATATTATGCGTCACATTGATTTCAATGTGTTTTCGCGATACAAGCTATCGTTGAAATTGCATTTAAAGTTCAATTCTAGAAAAGCCTGTACCTTGATTTTTTGTTTTGTTTGGGATAAAGATTATTCTTTCAGTAAATATAGCAGTTTTGGCACAGAAATATTTCGAAAGAAAATGTACCATTCGTCACAAAATGTAAAACACCCCTAGGTCACGTTTTCATACAAAACGATGTTGCAGACATTTGGGTCGATCAAAGATGCAAAGGATAGACATTCCGAATATGAATTCGTAACTTACACTACTTATTCACTTTCAATTAGAGATAACCATCTTTGTTCACAAACTAATATGGTTTCACAATGCTCTATATTGTCTGGAACCATTTTGAGTTTTACAAACTACATCTGCCTTTTTGTATCCAAATCAATGACCTTGGTGACCCCTGAGTCTCAACATGATACAATGCTGAATTAAGACTGTAGTTTTATATGCCCGCGGTGCTAGTGAATTGCGCAATATTTTAATGAGGTTTTTCCCCATGTATCACTTAAATGAAATTAAGCTCTGCAGTGCAGATTAAGTGCTCATGTGTTTTCAACAAAGGAGCTGACCCAAGCGCACCTACATTAAAATATTTATTTTGATATCACGGTTTATTGCAGTGGAACTCCCAAGGTGCACCAGCAACGAGCAGACGCGGTTGACACACGCGAGCAGCCGACAATGTTGTCATAGCGTAATATTAGTGGTTTTAGTGCGCTTGGATGAACTGCTTTTGATGAAAACGTGTGAGCATGTAATTTGCAATGCATGGGCTCATTGTTCTTTTCGTGATACCAAGGGGGAATACATATTAAACATTATGCAATCCACTTGCCCGCAAGTAGTTCAAAACGCAGCCTAAATTAGTAAAACGTGCCATTAACTAATTTGCCTTTTTACAAATGGAAAAAGAATAAAGATATACCATTAAAGTGACATAAATGGAAGAATAAAAGAATATCGAAAAATCTGAAGTTGAAACTGAGTGCGAATCTTGCATGATAACCTAAATTTAGCATTTATATTATTATGTTTTCCGGTGTGTTCTTTCGTGTTTAACAAAATAATTATTGTCAAGGGAACATTGCAACATCACGCAATTAATGATGGATGTAGCTTTGAAGAGAACAGTGTTTCAAGTTAAGACCTACCATCAGACGTCAGCCCAATTCGGTTCATCTCATGCGTTCACTGCTACACAAGTGATTGCATCCTATGGTAAGCTTACAAGATTTGCTTTAACCCTGCATTTTGATTCGGATCAATCAACATAACAACTCACTAAGGGAAATAAACCCCCCAAATCCAACGATATGACCTCACGCACAACGAAACGAATTATCAAGCAACCCTTCCACCATCTTCCAGGAACGATTATCACAATCAAAATCCACAAATAATAATAATAATATAATACCACGGGATCTTCCATTTATACTGAAGTGATAAAAATGCATGTTGAAGAAAAAAGAAAAAAATTTCCAATACTCTTGTCATATAAAACGATTGCATGTGCTTCAACCCATACAAAATCAAGTCCATAAGAGGTCATAAGATTGTACAAAGATGAAAAGTTCAGAATGTTAAACGTCTACCATTACATTTATATTTTTCAAACATTTTTGAGGATGAGCTGTGAGTTTTATCAAATTATTAGAAAGTAGGCTGGGACAAGAAGAGTCAATTTTGAATATCTAAATCTACTTT